TTTCGCGCATCCGACACGCACGATCTCCGCAGAGGGTCGCGACGGACAGAGACAAATCGCACTCTCGCCTGCATTTCGTGCGCTTGACACGCACGATCTCCGCAGAGGGTTGCGACGGACAAAGACAAATCGCACTCTCGATCTCCGCAGAGGGTTGCGTTTCGTGGCGGTCCGGCGGCACTGCCCCCGGCCTTAAGAGAGAAAGTTAAGAAGAGCGAGAGGTGAAGATGTGAGCTGTAGATGTGAGGATGTGAAGATGAGCAGAGATGTAGATGTGCAGATGTGAAGATGAGCAGAGATGTAGATGAGCTGAGATGAGCAGAGATGTAGATGTGTGAAGATGATGAAGATGAGCAGAGATGTAGATGTGCAGATGTGAAGATGAGCAGAGATCTAGGTGAGAATGTGGATGTGCAGAGGTGAAGATGTGAAGATGTAGATGATACGTAGATGATACGTAGTTCTGCAGATGATTTTTTACGAAGAACCCTTTGCAAACGCTCTCGGGAACAAATTAAGCTCGAAGAACCAATCATTGCTGAATTCGGAGCAAAGCAATGGGAAGGCAACTGAAGGCCATGTGAATCAAAGAGATGAGATTGCAGGAGTGAGGCTCTGAATCCGCAGCTGTCCAGCCTCAACCTTCGGTGTTTGCCCACCTGCTAGGGTATGCTTCAGCATCTGGGATGTCTCTGCCTGCACCTTGACGCAAGGTTTCTCGGATCAGTATGCAATACCTGAACCTGTTCGTCAAGGCACCGAAGTTTTGAGCGCTCCAACGCAAACCATTCAGCTATATAGCAATTCTGGAGCATCACAATCCCACAGGTTGTGCCTCCATGTAGAATCTTTCGGAGGTCAAAGCCTGTTGTGCTGCAGCAAAGGATTCTTCACCTTGGCTGCAAAGCCAAAAGGGTACACCACGACATCACCATAATTATTTCCCATGCCACGAGCTTCAAGGCACTTTTGCATTTCACAAAGGCTGAGCAGTGCCCCTCTAGTTTTTGCTGTGCCCCTTCAAGCATCTATAGGAATGATTGATACTGCCCTTGCCATCCTCGCCTTTGTCCGAGAGTTTGAAGACTGCCTTGAAGCCAGGCTCTGTCGTCCTAGGCTCAAAGCCATAACTAGCTTCTTTTTACTTGTAGCAATGTCCCTGCTACTAGTAGCTTCTGCAACCATGCTGCTGTAGTCTACGAACAATTGGTGCACCTGTTTGCCACGGCCTCAGCGCTAGGGGTGATTGAATTGTCCAAATAACACAGCAGGTGAGCACGGTGAGATGTCAAATTTCACAAACCTTGGTTTTGCTTGCAATTAAGTTTGCTTCTTGTGAATAAGCCTCGGTAAGCATGCACAACAATCAAATCTAGCACGCCCGTGCAACTATTAATTTCCAGAGCTTCTACCCCTGAACAAGGTGGTTAACACGGACAAAAAGGGGCAAAGCATCGGGCCATTACCTTCTTTGCGAACAAGTTTGGTCTGTGTGCGATTAGCAATCAGCGACTTGTTCATTTGCTGGTAGAAGTGGGAGCTCGCAGCTAGCAAAAGTATCGCCAGCTTTAGAAGTAGAGGCTAGCGACATGTTGCAGGTTTGCTGCTCAGGCATTTCCACACACTTGTTTAATTTGAGGGGCGTCGACAAATTCTGCCGGCTTTGCCACTAAAGAACAATTCCTAGCCAAGCAATGATCCAAAGTGGCTGTAGCAAAGATATAGTCAAGACTGCTATTTACTGCGAAAACAAGATGTCAAAAGCTGTTAGGGTTAGAGCGCGGCCAAGGTAGGGCATATGCTGCAAGCGTGTTTAGTAGGCAATTAAAGAATATTAGATACACATGTGGAAGAGGTCATCAAAGCCTGGCAGAACCCCTCAGCATCCGAAGCAGCTGAAAACAAGGAAAGCATGTGGATTTCTTTTCTTGTCTTACCAGGGTGGCTGTCTAGTTGGCGCATGAAACATGCTCACTTGCGAGCAAGCTTCCTTAATTGCAAGCAAAAGTCCTTAATTAAAAGCAAAAAGTCTTAATTACAAGCAACAATCCTTAATTACAAGCAGGTGTTTGCAATTAAGGATTTGTGTTTGTAATTTAGAAAGTTGTCCCCCAAGTTTGGTCGGAAACAAACTGTTGTCAAGCCTTTCTTTATGGTTCAGGGGAACATGTCTACAAAGATGTCCCCCAGTTCGGCCAGAAACACCTGGAAATTCAACACATTTTTGTCAATTTGGGTCAGACAACTTGCTTAATTACATGCATGTGCTTGTAATTAGGGATCGTTGCTTGTAATTAAGGATGTTTGCTTGTCATTAAGGATGGTTTGCTTGTAATTAAGGATGTCTGCTTGTAATTAAGCATGGTTTGCTTGTAATTAAGGATGTTAGCTTGTAGTTATATAAGGATTGAATTGCGGCTTGCAATAAACCATTTTGATGGCAATCAAACATGTCACATGTTCCAAGTGTTCTGATTTGTGTTTGTTGCAGAATTGTTAAAGGTAATCGGGACACCCCATCATAACATATGGCTTTTTTTCGTAGATATTGCTTTTTGGTCCAGCAAACCAACTGTTGTTGCCATGCATAACAACGCCGAAGTGCGAAGAACACAAAATACGGCAATTATGACACCAATGGTCAAATTCGAGGCAGGGGTCAACATCCTGCTATTTAAGTAGCCTCATGCTGATAGCGTCAACTGTTCAAACCGTTGTTGTCGTTCCGTCGTTGCGTGTTTTTTTTTTGTGGGTTCTTGCATTTTTTTGTTTCATGATATTTGGCCGAGTTTGCTTGACTCATAGAAACCTGTTTATGCTCTTAGGACTTTACAATTTTCTGGCAGTTGAAACTGCCAGCGCAGGGTTTCCAAACCCAGCTCACAGTTCTGGTCCCTACAGTGGGATTCCTCATGCCCTTCTGATGAGTTTAGATCAGCTGCTCAATACTAATTATGAATAATCAATGTTTCAATTATGGAAGCTATTTGCCCCACATCGATGTATTATGCTCAAATCAACGCTCCACCTCCAAAACGGGAGACTGCTCGTTTGTACTTGAACGGTCATATGTGCAACATAGCCAATCCTTAATCACAAGCACCGATCCTTAATCACAGGGTTTGTGAAATTTGGCACGGTGAGCATTCGATTTGTGCTTCTGCTGGACTCTTCGTAGAGGCATGCGGGGAGGAGTGGTTCTCTTAGCAAATGTATGCTGCACAATCCAATCTAAGCGTCGATGCTGCTGGACCTTCCACACCTGTTTCCAAACCTTAGGCTGTGGCTCCAGAGTGACCTGCCCGTCCTCTGCATCTGGATACCAAATTTCATGTGCACACATGCATAGATATATACCCATTCCGATGTGGCCTATAAAATGGAAGAGCCGGAAACAACTAGGCGAGTGGCTGTAAGACAAATAAACAAATAACTTCTTCTTGCCCTGTAAGCCAAATCCCAGCTGTATGTGCGCCAAAGTCCTTGTTGTTGACGTCCAGCACATCAGCTCTGCTCAATCCTCACATTGAACAGGCCAGTCTGGCAATATTCAAGATTGATCAAAACTCATCTCTTTCTCAGCCAGTCTTGTGATACCAAAGACATCAAGACTCAAGGGCACTGAGAAATCCGGGCCAGTGTTGGTTGCTATGAGGGCTGCATAGCGTTGCGATAGGTCAGACCTAGACTGGCTCAAAGGAATGCAAAGGGGGGGTAGAGGACGCTACTAGGAGCAAAGGGCATCGCTACTAGGAGCCAAGGACGCTACTAGGGGCTCCTGGCCGTACTACTAGGAACAAGAAGCTATTAGAAACAAGAAAGACATAGAATTAAAAGTTGCTTGAGATGGATGATATGGTGCATGTTGCCATCAATTTGTACTACTGTACACATCCGTTTTTGAAGCTCGACTTGCGGAGGCAATGAATTAGATCTGCCTTTATGTGACAAAGGTGCAGTACCTGGCCTGATACTGCTGGGAACAAGGTTGAGATCAATGCCCTTCACCTCAAAACTCAGCATGAATGTCCCCTCATTCCTCTCTCGGCATTTTGCTGTCTCTGCATTGAACAACGCCTACATCCTTCAAGATGCATCTCATCCTTCTTATGAGTTCTATATGTATATATATATATACATCTAGTGATTCTGGACAAGTGCACAATGCATCCTAGAAAGATATAGAAAGTCTGTGCGGCAATTCGGCCTAAACACGCGAAATTCCCGCTCCAAACTAGAAAAGCAACAGTTCGGCCAATGTCTGCCATGGCACCACCAAAGCTCCCACACCCATCACTGAAGCAGTCACGTGAGTCACTCCCTGGCACGTGAGCCACTGCCGAAGCAGGACATCTGGCTTTGTGAAACCTCTGTGCCTCGCCTCAGAGCTCTGAGCATGGCCTGCGACAGCCATAGTCCGGAGTCTGCTCAAAATACAAAAAGTATACCGAACCAAAATGCATCCTTCCAGTGCTCACTGGCGTTGGTTCACACGTACTTAATTGTCCCCAAAGGCAGGGGCCAGAAATGAACCTGTCTGTTTAACTTCCAAAAACAAGCTTTGTGGTAAACTTTCAAGTGCACCAGTGGCAAGCGGGAGAGCCACCTGGCTTGTTGAGTTCGCTTGCTGCAGATGGGCTTGGAGCAGATGGCCTGACAAAAAGACCTGCAAAGATGTGCGGAGTCCAGCAGAGTCCGGATAAACATGATATTAACAGCTAGAGGTATCTGTGTTCCATGGTGCAAAGAAAAGCATCAGCCAACCATGAATCAGTCTGTAACATCGATACATTTGTTCCCCAGCACCTTGTGTGGTTGCAGCTGCATGAGTTGTTGGCTCTGCTTCGGTGACCTCTGTGGTTGTGATAGTGGTTGTGGTAGCACTTGTCCTGAGTCAGTGTCAGGGTTGACAACACGTTTGTGTGTGTTCTTATTTTTTGATCGTGTGTATACAGTATTCGGTATACGTACAATATACCATTGATATAACTATATATATTACATATATATTTATAATATACACACTGGCTCAAGGCTCAAGTGGCCACGACTGAAAGCCTTTCCGGTCAGGTGCTCACTGCAAACGCTCCGTACGGTTCTGCACTGCAAGAGTCCTTTGGAAGAGTTGAAAACTATGCCAAATGAGGGACAGCCTACGGCAAAGCCTGCCCGTGTCACGCGCATGGCCTACATCGACCAGCTTTTGGCCCAGCAAGACATAGAGGATGCCAACACCCACAACCTGGTGCTAGATGAAGTATATGTACCTCCAGATGCAAAGCCTACGTGCTGTGCAGAGCAAGGAAATCCGTCTTCAAAGATTTCGTATCAGGGCCATACTTCTTTGGTCCGCTGGACGCTTACTTTTGGAGAGGCCACCCGACGCACAATGCACCGCGTGGGAAACATGGCCAAGTGCGCAGAGTGCGAGGCCAATGGACGTGTGGGGAATAACGGAGTCACCCTGAACAAAAAGCTCCGCCATGTGGAGTGCAGGTCAAAGATCGCTTGAGCATTGCTCAAAATCTATCGAGAATTTGTTCTAATGGGCTCTTCTTTCGCAAGTTCCTTTCACGACACTTTCGCGGCTAGCGTTTTGGCTTTTGCGCGCTGCATTCTGTGCAAAAACACTTTCGCAAGCTTTCGCGGACGGAACTGATTTCGCAAGCTTTTGCCAACTGTCGGGAGCTTTCGCAAGCTTTAGCCAATGAAAAGCGCGAACAATCTTTCGCGGATCTTTCGTGACTGCATGTTTTGCTTTCGCGAAGGCATAATACATTAACATCATTATTACTTGGGATGTTTTCCGCTGCTCACTTTCCTTTCACTGATATATATATATATACATATACACGGTGTGTGTATATGTTTTGAATACGCATATAACAATACAAACCTTCCTTGAACCGCTTCTCTAGTAACTAGCCACACACACACACACACCATGACTAAATCACTCAGCTCCGCACGGTGGAGTGTATGAGGGAATCTCTTGAGTGGACCTCGTTTGGTCTTTAAGTCTGTGGTGCTATCCATTTCATCTTTGAGGCTTTGGTCTGGTGGCATTCGTATCTAGGGATCTGGCGATATGGCAGCATACCCCAGTTCCTGTAGATGCATGTAGAAATCAACTCACTCACTCCCATCCTTGTTAAACAGCCAAAGTTGATTCAACTTGTTCATGTCCAATGTCCCGAGATTTTGTGTGGTCACATCTTAGATTTGCACGTCTACTTGCCAGTTTCCGGGTTGCTCTGCAGCTTGACTATTACAGAGAAACAAGAAACTGTTTGACAGAAGTGAATGTGAAACACCTTATCTCTGGCATAGAATCTCAATGTCTCCTTCAAAGCCTTGCAGTGCATTCACTCGTTTCAAGGCTAATGTGTGCTTCAAATAGATACAAAATAAACCAAACCCAAATTGCTTTAAACCATCGCTCCTAGACCCTGGTGGCGCTTGGTCCGCTCCTTGCACTGATGCTGAATGTACTCTCCGTCAAGTACTTCCTTCGCCTGACCCAGAAAGGTCAAAGTGTTCAAGTGTATCTCCCTTTGGACGCCACTACGCAGTCACTATGCAATCTAGTGCAATTTCAGAGCTTGAGGGTTCTGTGATGGCTGAATGGCCCAATGCTCACACGTGTGGATCCCCTCACCAGAGTCAGACTCGATTCCCTGTTACTCTCATGATACAAAACTTTTGCGGCATAGAGTCAATAAGTTAGGTCCAAAGCACGATCTTACGTACAGCACCATGGTACGGTCTTGCGGCAATATCTGATATGAACAACAATGTAGGTGCGGAAAATCTGCTTTTGAAATGAGTGTTTGTTATAAACCTCAGCAGTGATACAGGCTGATCCGGGAGTCACTGCCTTGCTCATATTTCATAGTGTTTTCCAAGCAAACCGGCAAAAAAGCAAGCTTTGCATACAAATCACACGAATGGCGGAGAACCCAACCACTGAATGAACATCCATGTGATTGCAGGATGCTATGTGCAGCGTCCAAACAATCTTACACACCAGTCCCCACATCTCACACATAGATTAACCACATCAAAAAAAGAACGGTACCAGCCAGGTCATGCAAGGTCCGGGTCTGTCGTTTCAATCATCAAAAGAAGAGAAAAATGGAGGAAGTATGAGAAAGTATGCACGATTCAGCCATCAGCCAACCAACTCCAAGTGGCCTCCCTGGCAAAGACTTGGAAACTGGCTGTGGTGAGTGGCACCTTAGACACTGACATTGCTAAAGTCGGCCAAAGAACATCGAGGCAAAGCTGGTGTCGGGGCTTTTCTGCCCATGCTACTTGCTACTGTCTATCAATACCGCTGAAGCAAGCTGGGTGATGTGCTGGCAATGCCTGGTAGGAAATGTCCTCCACATAACAGCCTATACAAAAAAAAAAACTTAGAATGTCTCAAAATCTAGCGGAATGGTGCAGAATCCAAGCGTTCAAAAGAATCACATGAATGTGAATGTCTGTGTGTGGTTGTAGCGTGTTTGCCTTGGTGTTACTGCTTAGAACGGCGTTGCGTGAGGAGAAATCGCCCGTCTTCCACTCGGGCCTCTAGCTCGGCTGTACGTCCACCACCTTGGCAAAGTTCCATGAATATTCCTGAACGATTTTTTTCCAACGCCTAGCCTAGGTCTGGCGGTGCCTTTGGTGGCCGTTGGCCCTAAACCTACTGTGTGATTAAAGTGGGCTATGAGGCTATGTGCAAAGAGAAACTGATAAACTTAAAGTAAAAAAAAGGGTAAAGTATTTATCGCCGGGTCGTGCTTGGTGAGAAATGTAGAGTAGATGGAACATAGCTAAATACACAAAAAAGAAGTACTACTGCTCATTGTCATAGTATTAGTATTGCTGAAGTATTTGTGAAATTAAGGTCAGGAAATGCCATTCCACATAGTGCCCAGTTCACATGTTATACAGTGTCTAGTTCACAGTGTCTCCAGTTCACATAGAGTCTTCATTTCACATAGAGTATTCATTTCACATGGACCATTTAATTCACACATTGAATCCTGATTTCAATTGTAAAATGACTGCCTCAAATCCTCAAATGATGCCTATACCGATTCGAGTACAGATTTAATCGAACGAGGGGACGTACGCTCTTGCTTTTTGTATCAAAGTTTCAAGCATAGCTCTTCTATGGCTGCAAGAAGGGAGATTAGGTTGCAAACGATCATTCTCTTTGATGATGTCCCACGCGCGTTTCATTTTTTCCAGTGTCCAGTTTCTTCTCGGTCTTCGTACTCTTCCTTGAGCCGGAACTTTGGGAATAGCAGTGCTGGAACAAAAGGTGACTTGGTGTCGGGGATCTGAGCGATTCTGCGGATGATATGGCCCAGAAGCTTTAATCGTTTCATGTCCAGGATTTCAGACAATGGGTGTCAATCACTTCGTTAGCTCTGAGTTGTTCCTGATCCCTGATGACCATGTGTATTCATTGTATTTCATTATAGATGTATACAGTGCACAGAAAGTCTGTTTGTAAATCAACCATTCATTAAAGTCAAGGACTGAAGGCGATCTGCTTTGGCATGGTGACATCTTGAGACTGCCACTGGCATCCCAAGTCAGAATAGCAAATCGTCCGACAGGCTTGTACTCCGTCCTTGGTGAAATGGTCACGCCTGCACAATAGCCTGTTCCGTAATTAGGTTCGTTTTATTATCTTTCCAATGGATGCTGGATCTGTTTGTTCTGGCTACTTAAAATTGCTCTGCACACAATTCATTACCTTGTGGCCAACTTGTGGCTCTCTCGGGAAATGCCCAATGTAACAAATTCTGTGTCTCACACGTCGTGTTTGGCGAAATAGTTTTCGTCAAAGACATTCTTCAGGCCATCGATGTGAACCTTGGCCCGGATTCACCCAGCAAGGACAGATTCAGCCCATCTAACAAAGAATACTTCATGGAAAACGGGACCACTGAGCACTTGAACGACTCGAATGAGTTCCGTACGAAACTCAACTTTTTCAGCACTCTCACCTGAATCTGTATCAGAGAATCAGATGTCAATCAATCTATATATATATACGCCTACTAGAATAAAACATTTGATAGATGACGAATGGAAGCCTGATCGTCTTGACCGCAGCCCAATTACAACTTGCCAGGCTTTCGATGGCTACTTTATATAGATGTTTCATTTCAATGGGCAATAATTTTTTCTGCGGCTTTCAGTCTGTGCATAAGCATTGAACACTGCGAAGTGAAAAACTTGGTCAACTTCGCTGTCAGCGCTTCTAAAATCAAAGAAACAGAAAGAATGGTCAAAAGGTCTAAAGAAAGAAGGCACAACCAGCCGTCAAGCTGAGCACCTCGCCTCTCCATGCATAATGCGCTGGGCCCTGTCCCGTTTCTTTGCTAGGAAGAGCAGCTGTTCTTTTGCAGTCTGAACTGGTATGCTTGGTGTGAAGGCCAGCAACTAATACTAGCTTCGAACCAAGCTTGCACAGGCAGCCTGACTGGCTTGAAGGACAAATCCTCAGTCCCATTGTCCAGAATTCGAGCGTAGCAATTGTAGCCAGGGCCTGAGCAAGGTTGTTGCTACATGATTCAACAATGACAATCCCAACACAAATAAACTCTTCCCAAAACCGATGTGGAAATCCTGGTCCTCCCAGCCCTCCCAATCCATCCCTACGGCTCCAGTATCTTTGTCAAGTCCTGACAACCCAAGCTGCTCCAAAATGTCTGATAGCAAAGCGTCTGCTTTGGGTTTTTTCTGCTCCACCTCCTCAGAATCGTCAACGCTCCAGGAATCGACTCGCAAAATCTGACGGGTGAGGGATCCAAAAAACGAATAGCGTCAATAAGACATATTCGAGGGGGATCAAAAAGGAAAAGAAAGGTATCAAATAATATCCCAGTGAACAGTCAGGAAAAAGAGACTGAGGAAAGGACAACAGCAGCAGGGCGGGCGACCAAGGACCATGAAAACATGTTTGCAACACATATTTAAAAACTTAAGCGAGAGCATGTATTATTTGGCGGCCCAGTGCATAGGCAAAAGCAATTCAGGCTTCGTGGCCCTGGAGGGGGGTAGGAGCAAAGGACGCTACTAGGAGCTTCTTGTGACTACTAGTAAGGCACTTGTTACTAGAAGCGATGCACTTGTTCCTAGAAGCTTCTTGTTTCTAATATATAGTAAGGCACTTGTTACTAGAAGCAACCAGACTCTGAGGGCACCACAAAATGCATCGAAAACTACACACCCTAATGCCCCATCAATGAAAACCTGCTCC